GAGCCGAGCGGGGATGAAAAGGCCATAGGTCATTGTAACACCTTCTATCAACACATCCGAAGGATTGCAGACAAACACGTCTACATCTGGCGGTGCGGGTTCATCGCGCGAGCCAGTGAGCCAGGAAAGCATGATGCGGTGAGTGAAGGAAGGAGAACAAGCGACAGGTTTCATGTTACGCTGTTTGGCGGGATTGGTATCATCGCGGCCGGATTCGCGTGATGGAGAGCTGCTGCTGCTGCTCTTAATCCGATTTGGCTCACCGGACACCGCGTAACTCTCGCAAGCGCCTGTCAAATTGTTTCATTTGAATTGCGTTCAGGTCCTCGAACGTCAAGGCACCCTTCAACCTCCACCAAGTCGATCTCAGTTCGCACACTCCGCAGTGTACGACAGGTAACATGTACACGGAGATTCGTGGGAGAGAGCGATACAGATGCCGTTACGGTTGGGCTATGGGGACGCAGTCCAGAGGGAGGTATCCAAGCGTAATTGCGTTCCGCGGCGCGGCGAGAGACACACTGCCCTCGACAGTACGACGTACTGGCATCTAAAATGTAACCACAACCGAACCGACCTGTCTCGCTCTTCATTGCGCGCATCAGAGAAGTGCGCACCAGAAAAGTGAGAAGAAAATCAAGTAGGATGTCAGGGCAGCAGCGGCGAGATGTAGAGAGCGACAACCTAACCAGTCAGACAAAGAGGGCGAGAGAAATAGGGAAATAAGAAGTTGCAGAGGGGGACCGTTCGAAGTTGAGGTCTCGGTCGAGCTCTTCCAGTGCTTCCCGCTCATGCAGCACCTCAAGCTGGGGATAGGGGCTTCTTCACTTGATGCTGGAGAGTAGACGTGTCACGTGTTCAAGGAGGCGCACTCTCATACACACATCCGCTGATGCCAGTTGGACCGTGCTAGACTAGACTCAGACCCACTGGACGCCATGAAAGATGAGTGGCGTTACTGTTGACAGTCGGGGGTGACGGTGTGCAGCAGAAGTGCGCGCTCGAAGAAGAAACCCAAAAGGGGTTGGCAAAGCGTTAGACCCGGCAAGCGCCGTGCATGCCACTTCCTTCGTCTCTGCTCCTCACCTCGTTCCAGCGAACACGAGCCATGCGAACGCAACACGCGTACACGTCATACCGAACTCTGGCAGGCAAAGCGCAATGCATAGAATGACATGACCGGTCGCCTATGTTTTCCCGAGCAATTCCCTTATTCGGCAAAGGTCAATGGATGGCTCTGAGGCAACGCGGCACACTTTGCGATCGACGGCATTTGCTTTTCCTCGCCATCCCCAGTATGGTATTTTCGTAGCGACAGTACAAATAGAGTCCAGGCCGTGGCGCTGGAGTCGGCATTGCACCCCCCGAGTTGACCGTCCCCACCATCTTGACGCACCACCCAACCCGACCGACCATGAACTTCCCCTCCCCGCCGATGGCTACACTGACTCGCCAAGCGTCTTGCCCGAGCGCACGACCATCACGACTGTTGATCAGTCCGTGCCAACGCCTACCACCCGTGCCAACCGCAAGCACCATGCAACGACCTGGAGCGGCTCCGGATGCAAGGATTTTCTGCCCCACGCAAGATCCCGTGGACAGCGCGCGTAAGTTTGCATCTTCTTGACAACTTGTACGTGACGCTGACGCCGTTCGTCAGCCCGTCGAGACTCGTGTGTTCATGGCATTGAGCTCGCCGCTTGCGCTGGCCGAGGATGACTTCATGGACGAAGACGAGGATGACTTTTTGGATGAAGAGGAGTTCTCAGACGAAGACGATCCGACGAGGATTCCAGCAGCGACGACTCATCGGTGCCAAGCCTGGCTTCCAACTCATCCGACGAAGACAACGAGGAATTGCATCACAAAGCCCTCCAAACCCGCTCCTCAAGCTCTCGGCTCAACGCACCCGCACTGCCGCAGCACAACCGCAACCGCTCTCACAAATGCTTGCACCCCAACGCCGTACGATGTGCACGCCCGAGTACGCATTCAACTACCGTCTCCGCGGCAAACTTGAGGGCTGCGGTGGCCTCCACCTGCGACAAACGCGTGCAAATAAGAGCACGTCTTTGCGAATCTCTCACTTGCACAAGATCGCGGCCGCAGCTCATAAAGCATGCCTTCACGCTGGGCGAGCAGAGCACTCGATGCGTCACGCTCAGCTTCTACACCCTTCCAGTCGCCAATAGTTAGGCTGTCTGTTTCTATTTATTGCCACCTATTGTCTCCTTTCCGAGCATGTCCTTCCGCCTTACCCTCTTCTGGCACCCAGAGGTCTGAGACTTTGCTCTCTGTCGCATTTTTATGGCGGCCCCTGCCTCTAACAATCTTAGATAGCTGCAGTCGAATGAACATCACTGGTTTACTTGATCTGACACCCGGTGCGAGCGAACGGCTCGATCGCACTCTAACAGTTGGCATGTGCGGTTGAGAAAGTCACTCGCGGGACATCGATTGCAAAACCATTTTGGCGCGGACACGGTTTGGAAGTTATGAACGTCTGAACTAGGGGTGTATGCTGCGGCACATGACACTGCCGTTCATCAATAAGTAACGAACTCCTTCAAAAACCCGCGTAATTTCCTGGGAAAATTGAATTTGAAAAGTTACATGTGACGCGCTTTCAACGGTAGAAGAGAAAAGCAGTTCGGACTTTCGGAACCGGTTGTAACGCGCTTGAGCTCAAGTGACTCCTCGAGTGACTATAAATTTGGAGAGCTGACTTTCCGATCGCCATATTCGAGCCACATATTGCCTTATACTCGGCCATTATGGAAATAGGTGTGTGTGACATTGAGAGGAAAGTCTACGATGAAATTGCCAGGTATGTGTGAGTCCGCGCACCAGTTTCAGACACAACTACGTGTGTTGATATTCTTCCTGAAGCTTGCAGAACGGTGAAATATCATCTTCAGTCATCTGCATCCCTCTTTCATGTGCTCTAGATGCAGAACGCTCCGCGCGCGAGGTCCATGAGGATGTCCCAAGCATGACTCATTTGCCAGTCGAGGTGCTCGTTTCCATCTTCACCTGCCTGTCTGTCAAAACGTGCATGCAAATCTCGCTGGTGTGCAAGGTCTGGAATGCTGTTATGTGCGACACTCCGGAGATATGGTCGGATTTCATTTTCGACGCGAGGAACTACCGGTCGCCGGACGCACTTGCCAAACTCCTCGAGCTCTCTCAACAGCGGCTAATCAGCTTGAACATCAACATCAACGCACGGCATCTACATGATGTGTGTAGCAGCCTGGCTATACATATGCATCGCTGCGTCAAGCTGGCCGTGACCATCAGCGCACCCAATGAACCCGCATCCGTGAAAGCAGTGTCTGTAGCACTGCAGGGACCGGCACCCAACCTTCGCTCGCTATGGATACACAATGCAACTCTACAATCAACGAGCGATCCAGCCACCGAAATCCGCATTTTCCCATATGGCGCTCCACATCTCCGGCTGATGAAGCTCCGCGCGGTCAAACCACTATTTGCGTTCCAGCTCCAACAGGCAGCATCATTTCCATCGGTCACACACGTGCGCTTTGTTTCAGATGGCTACCTCCGCTTTCCGGAGATCTCAGCTTTGGCATCGGTCTTCCCCAACATCGAGGAACTCGTCATTGATACAGTTTTCTCCATCCCATGGCGTACAAGCGTTCCTACCGCTATATTTCCCACAAATCTGCGGCAAATAAGCCTTGTGGCAAGGCATTTCAGCGCGGGTCATCAGGAGTTGCTTCGTCTGAGCAGTTATCTACATATTCCCAGGGTCTGGCTCGCGCTAAAGGTCGCTCATTCAGAAAGTCTGAACCGAGTTGCTGCGACCGCTCTCTGTGGCGATGAAGCAGGTCCCGAGCCGTTCATCGTGCGCACGCTGTCAGTGGATTCGACCACAACGGCGTCCAGCCGGAAAGACCCTATACATAACTACTTCATGTTCGACATCGACGTAGACGTGTACAGGCCGGTCGCACGTCGGGGTTCGCACTATCCGTACTCGAGCGCCGGTGACGGTGATGTAGATGATCTTGCCGCACGCACTCTCACTCTCCCGGGACGACGCCCATTCCTGGATGCCGAGATCTTTTCAAATGTGGCCACGCTGTCCATATCCGAGCTGATGTTCATGCCAGAGGTTGACCACCCTACCTTGCTGATCAACAGTGTCAATCATCTTACGGTTTGCACGCTGCGTCCGGCCGCTCACAAACGCGTTGAAGACTGCACGGCCCTGGTTATCCCGCCTCCTGCTGCTGGGAATCTCTACAAAGCTGCGACAGATGGCGGAAACGGTACAGACTCCATGGATAATACTGGGTTAGAATCGCCTATCGCAGGTTCACAGATGGTTCTTCATTGTCCTGAACTCCGAACACTCCGTTTCGTCGCACGCGATCAGATATTTGACATCCCGACGACCCTGACGCCCGAAGGCGTGTGTGGCTTTGCGACCCGCCACCTACGTTACGATGCAGTGCGTTTGGAGAGCCTCTTGTTTCTCGGCATTGATTTTGTCGTGAACGACGCCGCGATGTTTGGTAGGATGGTGGAACTGGCGGACGACGTAAACTTCGACCGTCGCACCGTCGTGTGGAGAATGCAGGCCCGGAAGATATTGGATTGGAGCTGAGTTAGAGTATATGCACAATTTTTCGAGTCGATGGTCTTATGTAATTCTTGCGACGCGGTCACTTGACCTCTTCAATTTCGTCCAGTGTCTGCACGGAACGAGAAACCTGACATTAATAGATTGCTGGCAAATGATCGACGAAGGACCGGCGCACTGAGAAGCTCGTGAACGTAGACCTCGTTCGTTTCGAACAGCGTGTAGCTTTTGTCAAAGACTATCATGTGCCTATCGCTCTGCTTTTGAAGATCGTGTTTGCGGATGTACAGCCAGAGTTTTCTTTACGACCTGAGGACGGCTCAAACAATTAGGGGTAAAGCTGAAGACAAGCAGGGTCTGGGTCCGTGCGTGGAATGAAGCGACAAAAAGATGACCGTGCCTGGATTCGAACCAGGGTTGAAGGAAATTTGATTCATCAGAATCCTCAGTGATAACCACTACACTACACAGCCTATATTATATGGGACATTTTAGCTTTATATAATCAGATAAATGTCCTGCCAAGACCAACCAATGTTTGTTGTTATCGGTCCGATGACTGCAGCCAGGTTCGGCGAGAGTGATCACAACGCCCTGATTAGGGCTTGGTGTGAGCATACCCACGATCAGGGTGATGTATTCATGAGCAGAAGCGCTCGATGGCGTCGAGAGGCATGAACGCCGAAGAAGCGTTGCAGACGGCGGTAACCGAACCGCGTTTTGAACTCGTTCTCTACATTTTTTGTCGGGACCTGGTCAGCAGGCTCCGCACCGATCGCCGACGCGCCATGTCGTCCGTGTCTGCGCTTGCGCCAGCCATCCGGTCGATTCTTATGGACCCAGGCACCGACTTGAGCTCTGTCAGTGCCAAGCGGGTGCGCAAGCAACTTGTCTCGCGCCGCAAGCTCGCCATCTCCGAAGACTTTGTCCAGGAGCACAAGGAGGAAATCGATGAGCTCATTGGGCGGGTATTCGAAACTGTGTCTGTCGAGCGCGGCGGGGTAGACGCCGCCCCTTCACCCCCAAGCTCCAGCCAGCAACGCACGGATGAAGTAGTATCTTCTCCCGCAAAGAGGAAACGAGGGCATTCTAATGAGTACGAGGACGGCACTGAGATGGAAGACGATACCATTCCCGCCAAGAAGCCCAAAGTAAGCTGTAGCCACCTTTTTTGGGGTTTAATTACGATTTCATTAACAAACGCACTGCTTTCAGGCCAAGTCCCGCAGTCTGACGGACGAGGAGCTGGCACGGCAGCTGAGCGTCGAGCTCAACTCAAACCCTTCTCGTCGATCCGGCGGCAAGCCCGCTGGTCGCTCACCCAAGAAAGTCAAAAAGTCCCGTGATACCATAGACGACGACTCAGATGCGCTCTCCGATGGCAGCGACGGTGGTCGGCCGGCCAAGAAGAAATCTTCCTGGGGCAAGAAGAAGAGCACGAACGGCACCAGCACTGGTGGTGGCGCAAAGGGCGGTTACCAGAAAGAACTGATCCTGAGTCAGGAGCTGGGCGACGTCTGCCACACCGACCGGCTAAGCAGGCCGCAGGTGGTCAAGCGGCTATGGGAGTACATCCGCGAGCACAAGCTCCAGAACCCCGAGAACCGCAAGAAGATCTTATGCGATACCAAGTTGCGGGCCGTCTTTAAGCAGGACAGCGTCGACATGTTCACGATGAACAATTACTAAAGGCGTGCGTTCTGGTTTACCGCTCGCTCGGCGAGATGCTCATCCGTATATTGCAGCCACCTCACATCACCGGACTGATTCCCACTGCTGTAAAGACATCGCTCGCCATGGGGTGCAAGTAATTACGTGATGAATCTTCCGGGAGTCTGGTCAAGCTGCATGAACTCTAGCATTATAATTTTTCCTCTGCATCGATGTGTCTTGTCTTGGTGTGGCGATCTCGTCACCGCGCCGTTGTCAATAGCTAATTTATACTGTGAACACTGTATTACGGATTGCGTAGCTGTATGACTAGCTGTCAACGGAGCCTGCGGTTCAAGACTGACGCGCTCCAAAACTCCGCCAGCCGCCGGCCGTAATTCTTATTGTCTCCAAAACCAACTGATTCTATTGTCTCCTATTGTCTCCAAAACCAACTGACGACGATGCGGCGGGTTTATTGCACGAAGAAATAATCGTTCTACAAGTTCAGCAGGAGAACGGCGTTGACGAGGAGAGTTTGCGCAATGCGCAGAGTGTTCTAGAGCCTGGTGCGACCGTTACCAATCTCCAGCTCATTGTCACCGTCACCACCGTAGTGCTGGCAGCTCACCGCTCATATACTGGGCTCCGGCACGCTTCATTCCACCTAGCCTCCCTATAAACCCGTCGTTCGGTTCAGACAACAACGGTTTGATTAGTTTCCGCTACCCCGCTTCCCCCGCGATAACATGCGTCGATTAGAGTTCACTTGCACCAACGGCACGGTGGTACCGCTGTTGCCAACCTACGTTTTGAATGCATCCCTTATACCATTCGCAACTCCAGACATACTCCTTCTTCCAGTGCGAAGCAACAACAATAGACTGGGTCTCTTCTTCTCCGTGAATGCGTTCTTCTTCTTGAAAATCCTTGACCAGCACCACCTTTCTGGATTCGCAGCTGGATCTAATCAAGGAGATCTACAAAACAGCTGCGGTGACGGAGTACACAATCCTTGCGAATCCACAAAATCTCGTCGGGAGCATTCTCCGCGTCTCCTCGGACAAGATCAACTTGCAGTACTCTGCAACCGGAATCACCTCTCTCGCATCAACTGGGCAATCGCTCGTCTCATCCTCACTGCGTGCTCTTTCTATCCGTGTTACAGGTTTCGACTGCTGCACATATCTTCGCCTTAGCGATCCAACTTCTGTTAGCACCAAGCAGTCTACCATTCCTTTCGTACCCAGGCAAGTACATCTGTACTAGTGGCTTCTTTGGTTTTCTTGTCGTCTGAATTTTATTTTTGATGCTAGAGACCAGTTTTCGAGATCATTCGACGCGGAGGGAATTCGAATGAGCAACTGTTCATACGACAAAGTGGCAAGTACAGCGAAGCCGTTCAGTCTAGAGTTGCTTATTATCTCCGCTCACACCTCGTAATAGGCTTTTTTGAAAAGCTGAGCTCCAGTTCTGGTGTCTTTTGGACGGGTTCGCCAGATGTAATATGTAACGAACTGAGCTCATATCTCAATCCATTTCACAGAGAACTCCGCTAACTTTGCCTTCCTGTTGTCCTTCAACCCCCGACCTAAGATGGCGGATCTTTCAGCCGAAGGACACGTCTCACACGAAGAACGCGTCATCCTTCAGATCCAGCAGGATAATGGCGTCGACAAAATGAGTCTGCACAAGGCGCAAAAGGATCCAGAACTTAAGACAGCCATTACAAATCTGCAGCACGTCGTCACCGTCGCTGCTGAGCTGTACGTCGCATCGTTTTTTTTTTTTGGTTTCTCGTTCAAACACACTCTCTTCACAGACTATCCAACGATAGATACACCAAACCCGCTCATTGCTGCCTGGAGCTGCTGAAAAACGCGGATAACAATATCTATCCAACCGACGTTGCGCCGGAGTTGCGCATCACCCTCCGCCAAGGCTACATGGAGATAAAGTGCAACGAGATTGGCTTCTCTGACGAAAACGTTCGTGCTTTCTGCGGCATCCGCAAGAGCACCAAGAAAAATCAAGCGGGCATCGTTGGTTGGTGGCGAGTCGCCCGCTCGAGCATTTGCTGACTTCACACCAGGCGAAAAGGGCATCGGTGCGCGCCTGAATTCTCTTCATCGCTGCTCTCTCTACATCTTCTGATACCTGTCTACCCTCAGTCGCCAAGTCCGTCTTTAAAGTGGCAAAGCGTATCACCATCCAGTCGAAGGGCTACTCCTTTGAACTCGACCGCGACCGGCTTCTCGGAACGATCACACCAGTGTGGTGCGCTGACCTCAGAGGCGACCCGGGCTGGACAACAATGCGACTGGAACTCGTCGACAACCACCAGTTTGCCATCTTGAAGGCCCAGCTGGTCAAGATCAGACAGACCGCGCTTCTGTTCTCGCGCAAACTCGCAAGACTCACGATAGACGACGGTGCGATCTTTTTGGCGTCCAAGACTGTGGACGGCAGCCTGGTGCAATTGGAGACGACTATTCCGAGCGCAGGTAGGCGCGCGGCGACGACGCCGACGTTCCATCGCTATTTGCGTGTCGCGCGTACCATCGTGGCCGCCGAGGATACTGACGAGCGAGCTGGACAGAAGCACACGGAGATTATTCTAGCCTTCCGTTGGGCAGCACGGGCGAGCCCTTGTCTGAGCCGAATCGAATGGTTCATGCATTCTTCCCTTTGCGCAGCGTTGGTTTCCGCGTACGTCCCAAAATACAACCATCGTAGCACCAGTCTGACCCAGTTGCGTAGTTCCTGATACAAGCAGATTTCCTCACCGCTGCCGGCCACGAAGATGTACTCATCGATCGCACATGGAATATTGCTATTCGCGATGCGCTTGCAGATGTTTTCGTAGCAGCGGTAGCGGAGTTTATGGCCCACGCAGCGCTTAAGCTGACCTGGCTGCTGTTCCTGCCACGCACCGACGAGGTCGTTCATCCGTTCTTCGCACCCATTGTCACGTCAATTATTTCCAAACTCAAGTTGCTGCCCGTTGTGATCACCAGCGACAACAGTCATGCGCTGGCTGCCGCTTGCAAACGGCCCGGAAGCTACATTTCAAGCGACGATCGGCGGCCTTTGGTTCCTCCAAAGCATGCGCCTTTCAAGTATGTCTCAGACCTCTACCCGTCCAAAGTAGCGCCAATCTTTGTCACGCTCGGGATTGTTGAAATGCAGTACGACGACTTTATCAACGGACTGGAAGCTGTGCACGCAGCGCTGGCGTTTGCATCTCAGCGGCCCGGGTGGCTTGAGGACGTCAGCGATAAGATTCTTTTGCACGGCGTCCAAAGCAACAAGATTTCTTCGCACGGCGTCCAAAGCAAAAACATTCCTTTGCACGGCGTCCAGCGCAATAAGAATGTTTTGCCCGGCGCCCAAGGCAAGCGACAGCGTGGTAGTTGGTTACGGGAGGACATGCGGGTCCGTCAGTTGCCATTCGCCCGTCGTCAAGATGGAGTATGGTGCACTTGCGAAAAGTCTCGGATTTCATCTATTTTTTTCGGTGTGGCAGGTTTTACGTTTCCTACCGGGCTCGACATTGAGATGTTGGACTTGACAAGCCATGGCTCACGTCATCAAGAGCTTCTCCGCTACTTGGGTGTTCGCGACGTCGACGTCAGTATCGTAGTTGACAGGATCCTGGATCTCCACCTCTCATCAAGAGGTCTCCGTGAGGCAGATATCCTCACCCACCTTCAATTTCTCTTCCAGCATCGCAAATCTCATTGTCGCTCAGACCTGCCAGCTATTTTCTGGCTACTCGACGTTACCGGGGCGGCTGCCCACGGCAACCAGCTCTACCTAGAGC